TCTTCTTCTTCTTCTTCTTCTTCTTCTTCTTCTTCTTCTTCTTCTTCTTCTTCTTCTTCTTCTTCTTCTTCTTCTTCTTCTTCTTCTTCTTCCTCTGTTAGATCTTAGGGGTAGTCGACTGCTGGTTCCTCAACCTGCAGTGCTACTGGTTTTTATGAATGTGACCTTTTTCCTATTTGGTAAGGCCCCTTGCCTTCAGGCAGCCACATTCCGATTTCAAAGATACTCTGTATGTTTTCGTACTAACTAGAGTATTTTTTAAAAAGTTTTGGTAGGAACTACATGTAATTTTGAATTTTGCACGGGAGGCGAATCCTACACTTATACCGAGTTTTGAAAGACTAAGGGATTTTTAATCGCACACGGGAACTCCGAAATGTTTCGCCCTTATGCGAGAAGGCTAGGCGTTCGATCTTACCTCTACCCCAAGGTCAAGGGTGCAGCTGAAAGACCGCAGTAAGAAGGAGCCAGGAGAAGAAGTGCGTGTAGAAAGAGTCATATGACCTTATGCAGTTGAGAGCGCTCTAAAACATATTACTAAAACAGACAAACAGAAAAGTCAGGAGGAAAGGAGAAAGAAGCCCAGAGGCCGGGGTTGGGCGGGGGAATTTGAATTGGAGGTGAAAGTAGATGACAGAACATGACAATGTCTAGTAAGCAGGAAAAAAGGTAAGAGGACAACATTGCAGAGAAGTAAATGTTTCCGTCGTTGTCAACTTTTTGAAACCGAAATCTATTGAATGAGAGGCAACATTGTACTTCTACACCACGAGAGTCCCCTCCGCTTATTTATTTACAAATATGTTTTTTTTTAAGTTGGCAGATAGAGCTTTGTAATTTTGAGGTAATTAATTAAATGTATTTCGGTCTTTTTGCTTGGATGTTGTATTTCTTTAAGTCTGGGTTGGTCCTGTCAGGCAGCGTAAAAAACACGGACATTAAATTTAAAGCAAAATTATCACCCAAAAGACTGATGTTGATACTGTCTTGAAACCCGTGCTTGGCGAACACCACAATGTTGATGACGTTGGACACCACGCCGAACAGACTGAGGAGACTGCAGATGACCACAGCATTCACAACTTGCAGAATGGCGAACACTTCGTCGTCAATCACATCTGACGAGAGCGCTTCCGACGGTGTAGTCACCAACATTCTGTCGTTCTCGCTGCCAATGTCATTTCTCGTGCTGTTCATATCCAAACGAGACAACAACACCATTCTGGCTTAGAGGTATGCTGCAATGGACCGCGTCTGTTACTGGTTTCAATTCTTCCTTTTGGAACGTCCGTTGCTTTCAGCTGATAATATTTCCACTTTCTTTTCCCCAAGTCAAAAATCAGTTCAAAAGAGCAAACAAAACAAAGCAAACTAACGTAACAACTTTTTATGTAGACACGTAACAGCCCAAGAAAGTAATTATTCTATTATAGATCGAAGTTAAAATTTGCCCAACTTTTTTTCTAAAAGACGGTTATGATGTAGATAATAATATTACCACGTTTGCCACCATTATCATGGTTTGTCATACTATCTCTTTGTTCAACGTTGTGTTTCACACTCTTTTATTAATTACACCACAGGCTCGTTAAACAAAAACTTTAAAAAGTACACGTTCAATCAGAGGGCTACAAAAGAAATAATATAAGTCTGTTTCTGGTTTTGATCTGTAATACAGGCGTACCATTAAAGGTGCTTCTCTGGCGTAGTATCTCGAGATAATAATATGATTTTGGTGTGTTCTTTTTTTCGACCTTTAGAAACGCAAGTTCCGTGTTTGCACGCCATTGTTTATGATTTTCAATAACGACGAGTTTCGTCATAGTTTCCAGTATTGATTTTTTTACCCAATAATTTCCGTCATTATGGACAGACCATTCTACCTTTATTTTAGGTAAACTATCTCGCTTTGTTCTCGCTTAGTTCTTGCTTTTGAGGAATGTTGAAATGTATAAAGAAAAGCTCAAATTAAAACGTTGTTGAAGTTTGAAGATTCCTTGTGCAATCAGTTGTTGCGAGGAAAGACCGCTCTTTAAAAAAACCCTCTAAACTAAGAAGTTTTCCCATATTAAGTAAGACGAGCTTTCTGAATTCCAGTTAAACAAAAGCAAAACATTCTCTTTAACGCAACATGAAAACATTATGTTGTTTTAACAAGTCCATGAACGTTAGGCGGATTAGTGAAGATGAATAATGATATGAGCCTCTGCACTAATAGCTCAGTTAAAGCTGTCCACCGGTTTTGAACTTCTTGTTCCTACATTAGACATAATTTCCCTTCTTTACTTTGTATTGAAGCGGTCCGCACGATTTGGTAAGCCTTTTTACTGTTGTTTTGATTCAGACTGTCTTCTATTTTTACACACTGCTCTTCAATCCACTACTCCTTAGCTCCTCTAATTCCCTTTTTCACTTTCAGATTTGCCTCTTTGCATTTATTTTGCACTTTCTGGTTCCTATTTTCTTGTTCTTCAGAGCTTTTCGTTTGTCCTATAGCTTAAGGATGTCATCTGTGACCCAGGGATTCTTTTTAAACGCTATGTTTCCCAAGGAGCCGATTTATCTCCTTGATGGCGTATGTCGGCCGAAAGTGTTCATCAGCTTTAGGTCGTTATAGCTGGCAACTTCCAGGAGTCGTACACCTCTGTCATAGGTGTATGTATTGCAGTAGGGCCCGCAGATTCCTTCCCAGTCTTTCGGTGCATCTTCCCCGATCTTAGCATTCCAGTCGCCTTGTACCACAATGATATCCTTCTTTGGTGTTTCATCCAGTTCTTCTTGGAGTGGGATGTAGAAATCCTTCACTTCTTCATCGTCGTGTGCTGTCGTTGGTGCATATGCTTGGGTGACAGTGATGCTTAATGGTGATGCTTTCAATCGTATAGCCATGAATCGGCAGGAAACTAGTCATCAACCTGAGACGGCATTAACAGTGTCTTTGTGAATGAGTATTCCAATTCCATAATCATGGTGGTCTTCTCTGCCACTGGAATATAATTTATGCGCTTCTGGGGTTGATGTTTCTCCGAAGTTCTCCCATCGTAACGCACACAACCCAAGGATCTTCCAACGGTATCTTTTCATTAATTCGTGTTCTAGGTCCTCAACCTCCCTTGCTTCTCTCAATGTTCTCACATTCCACAAGGCAATAACGACGTTTCCTTTGGCCCGTGCACTTTTTTTTGTTCTTCCTGTAACATTGTTTCCTCTCTCGTCCTGGCGACCATCAACATAAGAGAAGGTCCTTGTTCCAGGCGATGACAGAGCTGGTGTGGTATTCCTTCTGGTTTGTTATCTTCATTGGCGTTTCTTGGGCAATGTCGCATGGCGGAGCCCATCCCTCTCTATGCCAGACCACTGTCGAAATCCTCCCACACGATGGTTCACCTTCGACTCGAACACAAAGCCGTAAGGTTCATCTGAACATGAATCCATTAGGTTCATTTGGGAACTTTTTCCGCCATGGTCGGTCACCGCATTTTGTGGTTACCCCAGTGATGCTGTGTTAACATTGCCCCCTCATACGGTTTGGCACGCCCGCTGGCAAGGTCCCAAGGTATGACCCTTGGAGCCACGTGTGAGAAATTGAGGAGTCTGGGGGAGAACCAGTGCGCCGTCCATCCTACAAGTAGGAAGAAGCAGCCAAGCAACAAAGGTATTCCATCTCCCCAGAGTCCCCATAACCCCATCCCTATTCATTAACGTCATATTTGTAGACATTTAATATCACTATTCATTGGTTTTATGTTTGAAAACTTTTATATAACTATTCACTAGCTTCATGTTAGTTGACAATTATACCACTAACTATCCTCTAGTTTCATGTTTGTAGACATTATACTATTCATTAGTTTCATGTTTGCAGAGATATGTTCATTATTCATTACGTTCATATTTGTAGATGCTCATATAAAAAATATAACCCCCCCCCCCCACAATCAAAACAAAATAATGCAATACAAAGCCAAACATAAACACAAAAACACCCCCCCCCCCCCCCCCCCACAATCAAAACAAAATAATGCAATACAAAGCCAAACATAAACACAAAAACAGAACAAACAAATGCATGCCCAAAATCAAAAATGAACAAATAAACAAACAAACAAAACGCTCAAAAGAAAACACCTCTAACAATCTGTAATTTGGGAAATGTGTGGTTTATTTCTGAGGGATGTCTCAAAACCGTAGCACACACCAAGGAATCAGTCCATCATTAAGCTGTGCCTTAAGGCAGTCCTGATTTTTCTCTCTCTTCGTCACCAGTGAGCCTTTCAACGGATTGGCTTCTCACATATAGAGATGACTGTGAGTCTGTTATTGTTATTACCTATTTTGTCTGATTCAAAACAAACACATGGAAAATATAGTATTATATCAATATTGGACAAAGATACAAAAGGATAATAATGATTTGTAAAACCTATTACAAACACAAAAACGTTTTTATTGCCATTTTCATTCTCACTACTTTCACTGTGTGTAACACAAGTAGTTTTTCCCCTATGTCTCCAAAGGTACTACACTGTCAGACACTTTTCTAATAATACTAATAATGATAATAATAATGATAATAATCAAAATAATAATAACAATAATAATACAAATAATAAGAGCAATAATTACAATAACAACAACAATAATAATAATAATAATAATAACAATAATAATGATGATGATGATGATAATAATAATAATAATAATAATAATAATAATAATAATAATAATAATAATAATAATAATAATAAAATAAAAAAATATATAAATATAATACAATGTGTATTGCACAAAATCTTGTTTAACTGCAAACTCTATGAATTTTACAGTTTACAGTATTTTAAAATCATAAGAGGACACAGTGTGGGTGGTTGGCGGGTGCTCTTGTGTGATTTGCTCCTTCTTCTTTCCTATCAAACATCTATCGTCTTTATCTCTCCTTCTTCCTATCTTTGTATGTCACTCCCATGTACACCTCAAATCTTCGGCATTTTTATGGCCAA